TCATCCAGAAACACATTGGCCCATCCATGTTCCTTGTTCCAAGCTGGTCCCTCACCTTCCTTGCTCTGCGTTTACAGCTTTTATTTGCACTACAGGCAGTACCCAACATTTGGCTGCATGTCAGATACAAGCAAATGAACACATAATTCTCTAACATTCCAGGAAAATATAAGTGTATCAAAATATTTCTGCTGGTAGCTGATCACCTTCCGGGGTGAAAATGCATGTGAATAATTCCCACCATCTAATCAACTGAACACATCTCTACTTCCAGGGACTATCAGCCAAGCCAAGGCCTACATGTAGATGTAAGGGAACAAGAAAGGAATGGGAATGGCACAGAAGTTAAGAATCAGGGCTTAACATTTCAGACTATGTCAAGTGCAGCAGGTACACAAGAGGCATCATCTACCTTGCGAAAACTACAAGAGGATCACAGGAACTTGACACCAAAGATCTGAGGCATGGTTCTCTAGGTAAGTAAGTAAGTTTTTTGGAAAACAAGGAAAGTGCACAGGATCACAACTGTGGGATTAAAAATAAGGGAAATTTAATGTTTATATCAACCTCCTGAGACAGTTCAAACTATGTCACAGCAAACTCTTTCACCTGCCCTATCTCTGTGCAGACAGAAAGCTTCAGTGTGCTCAAACATTACCCAACAGAGACCACTTTGCAAACAGACACCACCAAAGGACGTTTCCCACACACCTTCTCCTCATGGAGAATAAGGATCACTGCACAGATGCATACAAGTAAACTTCTCTGCTCACTTTCATTTCAAGGAATGTGAAATCTTCAAGCCCCCAAAGCAGAATTTCCTAACAAAACTACCATTCCATGCCTTACATTCTCCACAGTTTAAATATTAACAAAACGTCAGCAGTTACTTCAATGAGCAAGATCCATAAATTACATCTGAAGGTTGGTCAAGGCTGGGGAAAGCTCAGTACACCTAAGACAAGATTTTCCATCACCGTCTTACAAGGACATACAGCTGGGAAAGGGACAGTTCTTGGACACAGAATCTCTAAAGCATGTTGGCACTTTCATGGGTATGTCTGCAGACAAATTCACGTAAGTCTGTGTTTTTTGGGATACAGGAAAAGGGACAATTGTCTAAGTCACACAGGCCTTGGCACTAGGATTGCTGTGGGAGCACCCTGAGCCAAGAGGAGCATGCAATCCCCTCCTTGCCTGCTCTGAGGCCAGTCTGTCACTCATTTTCCACTGACTTCTAACCATGGGTATTTGAAAAGAAAGAGTATTTCTTTAAGTGATATTTTGCAGAAAGACATCTATAAAAGTCTTTTTCTCTAGATCTGAAACCGTGGAAGGCATGAACAGATCAGACAGACAGTTCTAATAGATGTGATCTTCCACACACTCTCAGAGAAAAAGACACCCTTTAGCTCATTAGATCAAGCAAGATAAAAAAAATTAACACATGCTTAATGGAAGGGATCAGCCCATACAGTTCTACATTA